GACCACGGCCGTTGTGGAACGGGTAGGGGTTGTAACTTCCCTCTAGGCAGGTGTCTAGGTGCCTTACACTGGGCGCACACCGAGCAGGAGGAAACATAAACCCTCACGTCCTTGGCTAAGGTTGGCCACCAGTACTTCTCACTAAGACAATGTCCGACCGATGCTAGGATGACCAGAGGAGGGTGACGTGTGAGCCCAATAAATCAGTCGATCACGGATCTCGAGCGGAACGTACTTCCGCCCCTCTGGACACTCTGGAGGAGTAGGGTCGGCACGTAACGCCCGCTCGATCTCCGCATCGACCTCCCACACCACCGGTGCCACCAGACAAGACTCCGGAAGTATGGGAGTGGGCTCAATGGACCTCTCCTCTGTGTCATATCGCCGGGACAGGGCGTCTGCCTTACCATTCTGGGACCCAGGGATATACGTGAGCTTAAAAGAAACATGGCCCACCTAGCCTGACGAGGGTTCAGTCTCCTAGCTGCCCAGATGTACTCCAGGTTACGATGGTCAGTCAGAATGAGAAAAGGGTGTTTAGCCCCCTCAAGCCAATGCCTCCACACCTTTAGGGCTTGAACCACCGCTAGCAGCTCCCTGTCCCCCACGTCATAATTACGTTCCGCCGGACTGAGCTTCTTAGACTAAAAGGCACAGGGACGGAGTTTAGGAGGCGTGCCCGAGCGTTGAGACAGTACAGCACCAATCCCCGCCTCTGACGCGTCCACCTCCACTTGGAACGCCAAAGAGGGGTCCGGATGTGCCAGCACCGGAACTGAGGTGAACAGGTCCTTCAGATGTCTAAACGCCCTGTCCGCCTCAGCCGACCACTGCAAACGCACCGGGCCCCCCTTTAGCAGGGAGGTGATGGGAGCTGCTACCTGTCCAAAACCCCGGATAAACCTCCGGTAGTAATTGGCAAAACCCAAAAACTGCTGCACCTCCTTAACCGTGGTAGGAGTCTGCCAATTACGCACGGCTGAAACGCGGTCAATCTCCATCTCCACCCCTGACGCGGACAACCGATGTCCCAGGAAGGAGATGGACTCCTGGAAAAACAGGCATTTCTCCGCCTTCACATACAAGTCATGCTCCAACAGTCTACCCAACACCCGACGCACCAGGGACACATGCTCGGCTCGTGTAGCGGAGTATATTAGAATGTCATCAATATACACCACTACACCCTGTCCATGCAAATCCCGGAAAATCTCGTCCACAAATGATTGGAAGACTGAAGGAGCATTCATTAACCCGTAGGGCATGACGAGATACTCATAGTGACCCGAGGTGGTACTAAATGCTGTTTTCCATTAATCTCCTTCCCTAATGCGCACTAGGTTGTAAGCGCTCCTGAGATCCAATTTTGTGAAGAATCGCGCCCCGTGTAATGACTCCGTCATACTCGCAATCAGAGGAAGAGGATAACTGTATTTAATGCTAATCTGATTGAGACCACGGTAATCAATACACGGGCGCAAACCCCCATCCTTCTTCTTCACAAAAAAGAAACTTGAGGATGCAGGAGAAGTGGACGGCCGTATGTATCCCTGTCCCAGAGATTCGGTGACGTATGTCTCCATAGCCGCCGTCTCCTCTTGAGACAGAGGATACACATGACTACGAGGAAGTGCAGCGCCTGCCTGGAGGTCTATCGCACAATCCCCCTGTCTATGAGGTGGTAATTGAGTCGCCCTCTTCTTACTGAAGATGAGTGCCAAATCTGTATACTCAGGAGGAATGTGCAGTGCGGGCATTTGGTTCGGACTTTCCACCGTTGTCACCCCAACGGAAACACCTATACACCGCCCGACACACTGATCAGACCACTCCCTGAGAGCCCTCTGTTGCCACGAAATGTTGGGGTCATGAGATGTTAACCAGGGAAGTCCCAGCACCACGGGAAACGCAGGAGAGTCGATCAGATACAACTGTATAATCTCCTCATGACCCCCCTGCGTCTTCATCTTAAGTGGCGCTGTGACCTCCCTAATCAATCCCGACCCCAAAGGGCGGCTGTCTAGGGCATGGATAGGGAAGGGCACATCGACTGGTAATATAGGGATCCCTAACCTATAACAGAAACTGCAATCAATAAAATTCCCAGCTGCGCCTGAATCGACTAGCGCCTTATGCTGGGAGTGAGAAGAAACCTCGGGAAACACAACTTGGATACAAAGGTGGACAACAGAGAGCTCTGGGTGAGTTGGGCGCTTACTCACCTGGAATGACTCATCAGTGCGTGACCTGCTGCCTCGATCCCTAGGAGACCCTCCCCAGCACCGAACCACAGTGTGTCCTCTACGGCCACAGTTGGTGCAGGGGAGGGCCTCTCTCCGGGTCTCTCCTCCTCTCTCTAGCACCAGCACCCCCGAGCTCCATAGGGCTCGGCTCGGAGGTGCTGGGGGATGGAATGGACGGCCCCAGCTCCGGACGTCCACGGGTAGCCAACAGGGTATCCAGACGGATCGACATGTCCACCAACTGATCGAAGCTTAGGTTGGTGTCCCTGCAGGCCAACTCTCGGCGAACGTCCTCCCGTAGGCTGCACCTATAGTGGTTGATGAGGGCCCTCTCATTCCATCCCGCGTTGGCCGCCAGAGTCCGGAAATCCAGTGCGAATTCCGGCGCGCTCCTCTTCCCCTGTCTGAGGTGGAACAGACGCTCCCCCACCGCTTTCCCCTCTGGGGGATGATCGAAAACCGCCCTGAAGCGGCGGGAGAACTCCGCATAACTGACTGTAGCGGCGTCTATTCCCCTCCATTCGGCGTTGGCCCACTCCAATGCCTTGCCGGACAGACAGGAGATGAGGGCGGAAACGCTCTCGTATCCCGAGGGCGCCGGGTGAATGGTTGCCAGGTAGAGTTCTACTTGGAGCAGGAAACCCTGACACCCGGCCGCGGTGTCATCATAAGCCCTCGGGAGCGAGAGCCGTATCCCACTGGACTCCGGAGATGGAACGATGGGTCTGGCCGATGGTGGTGGTATTGTTGGAGGAGGTGTGGGCAAACCTCCTCTCTCCCATCGGCTCAAAGTGTCCATTACATCCTGCATGGCGGTGCCCAGTCTCTGGATCATGGCGTCTTGGCTGCTTACGCGCTCCTCCAATGATCCCGTCGGTACCGCTGATCCTGCTGACTCCATGGTGGTTTTGTGTTATTCTGTCAAGGAGTGAGGTGTATGTGGCGAGTGAAGCCAGACGCAGGACACAGAGATACTAGCAGACTACTTTACTAAATGTAAAGTACAAAACAAAACCTCCGCAACTGGAGGGCAAAACACCATATACATAATATGGATAATTACAGCAAGGCCGAACACTGACTAGACACAAAACAATAACACACAAATACCAAACGTGAGACAAGGGAAATTATAGGCTATACAATCAAACATTAATAGACAACAGGTGTAACTACTCAAGACAAAACAAGACAAACACCGAAACATCGATCGGCAGTAGCTAGTACTCCGGGGACGACGAACGCCGAAGCCTGCCCGAACAAGGAGGAGGAGCAGCCTCGGCAGAATCCGTGACAACAGCATTATTATTTAGGCAAACTGTCAGTGTTTGGCATGATAATCTCCCCCTCCTAGTCAGTGTTTGGCATGATAATCTCCCCCTCCTAGTCAGTGTTTGGCATGATAATCTCCCCCTCCTAGTCAGTGTTTGGCATGATAATCTCCCCCTCCTAGTCAGTGTTTGGCATGATAATCTCCCCCTCCTAGTCAGTGTTTGGCATGATAATCTTCCCCTCCTAGTCAGTGTTTGGCATGATAATCTCCCCCTCCTTGTCAGTGTTTGGCATGATAATCTCCCCCTCCTAGTCAGTGTTTGGCATGATAATCTCCCCCTCCTAGTCAGTGTTTGGCATGATAATCTCCCCCTCCTTGTCAGTGTTTGGCATGATAATCTCCCCCTCCTAGTCAGTGTTTGGCATGATAATCTCCCCCTCCTAGTCAGTGTTTGGCATGATAATCTCCCCCTCCTAGTCAGTGTTTGGCATGTTAATCTCCCCCTCCTAGTCAGTGTTTGGCATGATAATCTCCCCCTCCTAGTCAGTGTTTGGCATGATAATCTCCCCCTCCTAGTCAGTGTTTGGCATGATAATCTCCCCCTCCTAGTCAGTGTTTGGCATGATAATCTCCCCCTCCTAGTCAGTGTTTGGCATGATAATCTCCCCCTCATAGTCAGTGTTTGGCATGATAATCTCCCCCTCCTTGTCAGAATGTTGTCAAGATACTAACCCCCCCCCCAACCCCTGTTGGAACTCTCTCACCCCCCCCTCTCTTCCTCTATCCCCCTTTTCTGACCCCCAAGCCCCCAACTCTATTTCTAACTCTCTGCTAGAACTCTCACTTCACCTCTCTCTCCCTTTACCCGTCTCTCTCTCCCTTTACCCGTCTCTCTCTCCCTTTACCCGTCTCTCTCTCCCTTTACCCGTCTCTCTCTCCCTTTACCCGTCTCTCTCTCCCTTTACCCGTCTCTCTCTCCCTTTACCCGTCCTCTCTCCTTCCCGTCCTCTCTCCCTTTACCCGTCTCTCTCTCCCTTTACCCGTCTCTCTCTCCCTTTACCCGTCTCTCTCTCCCTTTACCCGTCTCTCTCTCCCTTTACCCGTCTCTCTCTCCCTTTACCCGTCTCTCTCTCCCTTTACCCGTCTCTCTCTCCCTTTACCCGTCTCTCTCTCCCTTTACCCGTCTCTCTCTAGCTCTTCCTCTCCTTCTCTCTCTCTCTGGAGGGAGGGAGGGAGGGGGGAGTAGTGGACACCAGGCTGTAGTATGCCAGTGGAGGGAGAGGTGGGGAGGGAGGGAGGGAGGGAGGGAGGAAGGGGGAGTAGTGGACAACAGGCTGTAGTATGCCAGTGGAGGGAGAGGTGGGGAGGGAGGGGGGAGTACCGTACCCAGTATGCCAACGGCGGGAGGGAAGGAATGGAGAAAGATAATCATATACCAACCCCTCAGGAACGGCACTGTTCCCTGGACAGCCAACAGACCACTTTGGAGCAACACGGTCTCCTAGCACTGTTCCCTGGACAGCCAACAGACCACTTTGGAGAAACACGGTCACCTAGCCTGAGGACCGGCACTGTTCCCTGGACAGCCAACAGACCACTTTGGAGAAACACGGTCACCTAGCCTGAGGACCGGCACTGTTCCCTGGACAGCCAACAGACCACTTTGGAGAAACACGGTCAGAGTGTTACTGCTACCCCCTACTCCAGGACGGGACGGCCGGAGACATGGACCCCCGCCTGGCCCAGTCTGTTCAGACTGAGAAAGATGCTAAAACAGAAGGTAGGTAGCCATAACTTTCAGACGCACACAGAAGGAATGTGTCAATTATGGGATGCCTCGCTAAGTCAGCTTTTGGTTATTGCTGTACATGTAAAATGTCGCCGTCGATAGTTGAAGTGCACTCTGGTAGATTGGCGTTATAATTAGTTAATGGCCAGTATGAGAGGTAGGTCATGTTTAAAGTGCTTAATAAACATGTTTATAGCGTCGTAATCGGGTACATTGACACACACACACACACACACACACACACACACACACACACACACACTCACAGGCTGTAAAGTGATTTAAGAGGTCCTCTTCGTTTCTCCCCTCGCCAGCTTACATAACTGGTATACCAGCTGCATGTCTGTGTCAGAGAGGCCACAAATAACCTGCCAGCACATAGAGGAGTTATATTACTCTACTGAGGGGCTGGGTTACGGTACTGATGCTGGGTCAGCTAGCTGTGTAGAGGAGTTACAGTGGGGAAAAAAAGTATTTAGTCAGCCACCAATTGTGCAAGTTCTCCCACTTAAAAAGATGAGAGAGTCCTGTAATTTTCATCATAGGTACACATCAACTATGACATACAAAATGAGAAAAAAAAATCCAGGAAATCACATTGTAGGATTTTTAATGAATTTATTTGCAAAATATGGTGGAAAATAAGTATTTGGTCAATAACAAAAGTTTCTCAATACTTTGTTATATACCCTTTGTTGGCAATGACACAGGTCAAACGTTTTATGTATGTCTTCACAAGGTTTTCACACACTGTTGCTGGTATTTTGGCCCATTCCTCCATGCAGATCTCCTCTAGAGCAGTGATGTTTTGGGGCTGTCGCTGGGCAACACAGACTTTCAACTCCCTCCAAAGATTTTCTATGGGGTTGAGATCTGGAGACTGGCTAGGCCACTCCAGGACCTTGAAATGCTTCTTACGAAGCCACTCCTTCGTTGCCCGGGCGGTGTGTTTGGGATCATTGTCATGCTGAAAGACCCAGCCACGTTTCATATTCAATGCCCTTGCTGATGGAAAGAGGTTTTCACTCAAAATCTCACGATACATGGCCCCATTCATTCTTTCCTTTACACGGATCAGTCGTCCTGGTCCCTTTGCAGAAAAACAGCCCCAAAGCATGATGTTTCCACCCCTATGCTTCACAGTAGGTATGGTGTTCTTTGGATGCAACTCAGCATTCTTTGTCCTCCAAACACGACGAACCAAAAAGTTATATTTTGGTTTCATCTGACCATATGACATTCTCCCAATCCTCTTCTGGATCATCCAAATGCACACTAGCAAACTTCAGATGGGCCTGGACAATTACTGGCTTAAGCAGGGGGACACATCTGGCACTGCAGGATTTGAGTCCCTGGCGGCGTAGTGTGTTACTGATGGTAGGCTTTGTTACTTTGGTCCCAGCTCTCTGCAGGTCATTCACTAGGTCCCCCCATGTGGTTCTGGGATTTTTGCTCACCGTTCTTGTGATCATTTTGACCCCACGGGGTGAGATCTTGCGTGGAGCCCCAGATCGAGGGAGATTATCAGTGGTCTTGTATGTCTTCCATTTCCTAATAAATGCTCCCACAGTTGATTTCTTCAAACCAAGCTGCTTACCTATTGCATATTCAGTCTTCCCAGCCTGGTGCAGGTCTACAATTTTGTTTCTGGTGTCCTTTGACAGCTCTTTGGTCTTGGCCATAGTGGAGTTTGGAGTGTGACTGTTTGAGGTTGTGGACAGGTGTCTTTTATACTGATAACAAGTTCAAACAGGTGCCATTAATACAGGTAACGAGTGGAGGACAGAGGAGCCTCTTAAAGAAGAAGTTACAGGTCTGTGAGAGCCAGAAATCTTGCTTGTTTGTAGGTGACCAAATACTTATTTTCCACCATAATTTGCAAATAAATTCATATAAATTTTTACATTGTGATTTTCTGGATTATTTTTTCTCAATTTGTTTGTCATAGTTGACGTGTACCTATGATGAAAATTACAGGCCTCTCTCATCTTTTTAAGTGGGAGAACTTGCACAATTGGTGGCTGACTAAATACTTTTTTTTCCCACTATATTACTCTACTGAGGGGCTGGGTTACGGTACTGATGCTGGGTCAGCTAGCTGTGTAGAGGAGTTATATTACTCTACTGAGGGGCTGGGTTATAGTACTGATGCTGGGTCAGCTAGCTGTGTAGAGGAGTTATATTACTCTACTGAGGGGCTGGGTTACGGTACTGATGCTGGGTCAGCTAGCTGTGTAGAGGAGTTATATTACTCTACTGAGGGGCTGGGTTACGGTACTGATGCTGGGTCAGCTAGCTGTGTAGAGGAGTTATATTACTCTACTGAGGGGCTGGGTTACGGTACTGATGCTGGGTCAGCTAGCTGTGTAGAGGAGTTATATTACTCTACTGAGGGGCTGGGTTACGGTACTGATGCTGGGTCAGCTAGCTGTGTAGAGGAGTTATTTTACTCTACTGAGGGGCTGGGTTACGGTACTGATGCTGGGTCAGCTAGCTGTGTAGAGGAGTTATATTACTCTACTGAGGGGCTGGGTTACGGTACTGATGCTGGGTCAGCTAGCTGTGTAGAGGAGTTATATTACTCTACTGAGGGGCTGGGTTACGGTACTGATGCTGGGTCAGCTAGCTGTGTAGAGGAGTTATATTACTCTACTGAGGGGCTGGGTTATAGTACTGATGCTGGGTCAGCTAGCTGTGTAGAGGGGCAACATTACACCACTGACAGAGTACTAACCCTAGGTCACAGGTCTCCGTTAACACTACATTACATGGGAGGACCAGTGGAGAGGAAGGGGCGGGGCCAAGGGGGGGGGGGGGGGGAGACATGCTGGGCCAAGACGAGGTCTCAACTTTAAATGGAAGATCTGGATGAGCTCTTTCCACTGAGAGAGAGGATGATGGGATACATCAGCAACCTGAGACTGTACCGAGAGAGAGAGAGAGGATGATGGGAACTGCAACCATACTCACTGTCATGGTTTGGAAATAGTTCCAATATCTACATTTACATTTACATTTACGTCATTTAGCAGACGCTCTTATCCAGAGCAACTTACAGTTAGTGAATACATATATATATATATATTGGTTTTTTTATACTGGCCCCCCGTGGGAATCGAACCCACAACCCTGGCGTTGCAAACGCCATGCTCTATCAACTGAGCTACATCCCTGCCGGCCATTCCCTCCCCTACCCTAGACGACGCTGGGCCAATTTTGCGCCGCCCATGAGTCTCCCGGTCGCGGCCGGCTGCGACAGAGCCTGGATTCGAACCAGGATCTCTAGTGGCACAGTTAGCACTGCGATGCAGCGCCTTAGACCACTGCGCCACTCAGGAGCATAAACAGCATAGGAGCATAAACAGCATAGAATAAATCCAATCTAATTGTTTTGCCCATGTCAGGTGTTGTTGTGGATGCTGAGCTGGCAGCGGCCATCATGTCCAGGAGGATCATCCAGACTCTGATCAGCATGGAGTCCTGGGAGGGATACGCCTTCGCTGAACACCAGATCAATATCAAGGAGTCACATGACCTCTATGGAGCTGTGATGTGGCCCTCGGTACAACACACTCCTTACGCTCACCTTCATCATCCTCGCTAACACTAACCCCATTATGCTAATCACAATCGTCATCACAATCATCACTATTAAATTCCACTTTTTTTTTTTCCCTCCACCGTTTTATAACTTCTCATCCATCAACTTCATTATTATAATGTCCTGTTAGTTCACGTTGCGTTTATTTTCCCATCAGGCCATAGTGCTGTGTTACTTCCTGGATACCCACCGGGACACATACAACCTGCTGGACAAGAACGTCATCGAGCTGGGCGCCGGGACCGGTCTGGTCTCCATAGTTACCAGCCTTCTAGGTGAGACAGTCTTGTATTTCCAAAGTCGCTGATAATGTTATTAGTTGGGGGAATATATATGCTGTTTAATAATATACTATATATAATAAATATATATATACCATTTAGTAATATACTATATGTAATAAATATATACAATTTAATAATATACTATACAGTGCATTCAGAAAGTATTCATACCCATTGACTTTTTCCACATTTTGTTGTGTTACAGCCTGAATTCAAAATGTGATTAAATAAATAAAAAATCTCATCCATCTACACATAATACCCCATAATGACAAGGTGAAAACATGTTTTTAGAAATTTTAGCAAATGTATTCAAAATTAAATACCGAAATATCTCATTTACATAAGTATTCACACCCGAGTAAATCTTTTTATAGAAGCACCTTTGGCGTCGATTACAGCTTTGAGTCACCTTGGGTATGTCTGTATCAGCTTTGAGTCACCTTGGGTATGTCTGTATCAGCTTTGAGTCACCTTGGGTATGTCTGTATCAGCTTTGAGTCACCTTGGGTATGTCTGTATCAGCTTTGCACATCTGGATTTGGGGATTTTCTCCCGTTCTTCCTTGCAGATTTTCTCTGTCAAGTTAGATGGGGAGCGGCGGTGAACCACAGTCTAAGGTCGTTTGCTCTCTGAAGCAGATTCTCATTAAGGATTTTCCTGTATTTGGCTCCATTCATTGTTCCCTCTATCCTTACCAGTCTCCCAGTCCCTGCCGCTGAAAAGCTTCCCCATAGCATGACGCAGCCAACCACCATGCTTCACGGTAGGGATCACAGGAGGTTGGTGGCACCTTAATTGGGGAGGACGTGCTCGTGGAAATGGCTGGAGCGGAATGGGTGGAATGGTATCAAATACAGTGCACTCGTAAAGTATTCACACCGCCTGACATTCTTCCACATTTTGTTACGTTACAGCCTTATTCTAAAATGGATTAAATAAATAAAAATCCTCAACAATCTGCACACAATACCCAATAATGACCCAATACCCCATAAATACCCAATACCCCATAATGACCCAATACCCCATAATGACCCAATACCCCATAATGACCCAATACCCCATAAATACCCAATACCCCCTAATGACCCAATACCCCATAATGACCCAATACCCCATAATGACCCAATACCCCATAATGACCCAATACCCCAGAATGACCCAATACCCCAGAATGACCCAATACCCCATAATGACCCAATACCCCAGAATGACCCAATACCCCAGAATGACCCAATACCCCATAATGACCCAATACCCCATAATGACAAAGCGAAAACAGGTTTTTAGAAAATCTTTGCAACTTTATAAAAAATGAAAAACAGATACCTTATTTACATAAGTATTCAGACCCTTTGCTATGAGACTCAAAATTGAGCTCCGGTGCATCCTGTTTCCACTGATCATCCTTGAGACGTTTCTACAACTTGATTGGTGTAAATGTAAATGTGTAAACTTGTGGTAAATTCAAATTGATAGGATTTGATTTGGAAAGGCACACACCTGTCTATTTAAGGTCCCACAGTTGATAGTGCAAGTCAAAGCAAAAACCAAAGGCACTTTATAATATAAATACCATTTAATAATATACTAAATATACTGAGTGTACAAAACATTTAAGGACACCTTCCTAATATTGAGTTGGTCCCCCCTCCCCCCTTTCCCCCTCAGAACAGCCTCAGTTCGTCGGGGCATGGACTCTACAAGGTGTCAAAAGCATTCCACAGGGATGCTGGCCCATGTTGACTCCAATGCTTCCCACAGTTGTGTCAAGTTGGCTGGATGTCCTTTGGGTGGTGGACCATTCTTGATACACACGGGAACCTGTTGAGCGTGGAAAAACCCAGCAGCGTTGCAGTTCTTGACACAAACCAGTGCGCCTGGCACCTACTACCATACCCCCGTTCAAAAGGCACTTCAATATTTTGTCTTGCCCATTCACCCTCTGAATGGCACACATACACAATCCATGTCTAAATTGTCTCAAGGCTTAAAAACCCTTATTTAACCTGTCCCCCTCCCCTTCAAATGTCTAATAACCAGTTTCTGCTTTGTCAAGGGGTCTGAATACTTTCCGAATGCACTGTAAATGACGGAGTGAAAAGGAAGCCTGTACAGAATAAAAATATAGGGTCACTTAAGTAATACTGAAACCTTTTGTCCTGAATACAAATCGTAATGTTTGGGGCAACAACACAACCACATCACTGAGTACCACTCTTCATATTTTCAAGCATGGTGGTGGCTGCATCATGTTATGGGTATGCTTGTAATCGGCAAGGACTAAGGAGTTTTTTTTTTTTTTTAGGATAAAAAGTAACGGAATATAGCTATAAGCACAGGCAAAATCCTAGAGGGAAACCTGGTTCAGTCTGCTTCCCAGCAGACACTGGGAGACGAACTCACCTTTCAGCAGGACAATAACCTAAAACACAAGGCCAAATATACACTGGAGTTAGTTACCAAGATAATATTGAATGTTCCTGAGTGGCCTAGTTACAGTTTTGACTTAAATCGGCTTGAAAATATATGGCAAGACTTGAAAATGGCTGTCTAGCAATGATCAACAATCAACTTTTCAGCAAATATTTTTTTAAATAATAAATGGGCTATTATACAATCCAGGTGTGGAAAGCTCTTAGAGACTTACCCAGAAAGACTCACAACTGTAATCGCTGCCAAAGGTGATTCTAACATGTATTGTGTCTGGGGGGGGGGGGGGTGAATGCTTATTTAATCCAGATATATTAGTGTTTTATTTTTCATACATTTTTCATACATTTTAGAATCGTTCTCCACTTTAACATGACAGAGTATTTTGTGTAGATCGTTGAACGAAAATGACAATTAAAATCAATTTTAATCCCACTTTGTAACACAACAAAATGTGGAAAAAGTCAATGGGTGTCAATACTTTCTGAAGGCACTGTATATACCATCTAATAATATACTATATACCCCCCATACTCAACTGGCGGACCGGATCCGGACCCAGAACGGGGTCAATACGAACTGCAGGTACCCCCCCAAAAAAAATTATATAAAAATATATACACTACCGGTCAAAAGTTTTAGAACACCTACTCATTCAAAGGTTTTTCTATATTTGTACTATTTTCTACATTGTAGAATAATAGTGAAGACATCAAAACTATGAAATAACACATATGGAATCATGTAGTAACCAAAAAAGTGTTAAACAAATCAAAATATATTTTATATTTGAGATTCTTCAAATAGCCACCCTTTGCCTTGATGACAGCTTTGCACACTCTTGGCATTCTCTCAACCAGCTTCACCTGGAATGCTTTTCCAACAGTCTTGAAGGAGTTCCCACATATGCTTAGCACTTGTTGGCTGCTTTTCCTTCACTCTGCGGTCCAACTCATCCCAAACCATCTCAATTTGGTTGAGTTCGGGTGATTGTGGAGGGCAGGTCATCTGATGCAGCACTCCATCACTCTCCTTCTTGGTCAAATAGCCCTTACACATCCTGGAGGTGTGTTGGGTCATTGTCCTGTTGAAAAACAAATGATAGTCCCACCAAGAAAATGGTGATCAATAAAAAAGTATACCAGTTTCATTTAAGGACCAAAGGATTGACAGCCGTCCCATATAGATTGCAAAATAGTTGGGAAGAGATTTTTGACGTACCGATTCCATGGCAAATTGTTTATGAACTGATACGCAAAACGACGCCGGATTTCAAAACGTAGAATTTTTCAATTAAAAATTATTATACAAAATTCTTGCTACCAATATAATGTTATTTATATGGGGGATACGATCTTCCCAGCTCTGCAGATTTTGCTGCGAAGAGACAGAATCATTAGATCATTTGTTTTGGTACTGTCCATTTGTAGCTTGTTTTTGGACACAGGTCCAGGAATGGCTGAAGGATTGCAATATTTACCTGGAGCTAACCCTGCAGATAGCACTACTGGGTGATCTGAAAAGTAATAGTCAATCAATCAATAATAGAATAATACTTTTAGCAAAAATGTTTATTTTCTATTTACAATCTGTAGAAGCAATGAGAATTACATTTCACATTCTTAAAATAAAGTGGTGATCCTAACTGACCTAAGACAGGGAATTTTTACTAGGATTAAATGACAGGAATTGTGAAAAACTGAGTTTAAATGTATTTGGCTAAGGTGTATGTAAACTTCCGACTTCAACTGTATGCTATTTTTTTCAAAGACATCCTCCTCATGTCACTGAGCAGTCCTAGCGGGAATTGTTACTGTTTTTTTGGTTTAGTTTTTTGGGCCCATCCACCACCCCCCTTTTCCGAGGACAGACATCTCGTTCCTACATTTACATAACATTTTACATTTACGTCATTTAGCAGACGCTCTTATCCAGAGCGACTTACAAATTGGTGCATTCACCTTATGATAGCCAGTGGGACAACCACTTTACAATATATATATATATTTTTTTTCTTTGAGGTGGGGTAAGGGGGGGGGGTAGAAGGATTACTTTATCCTATCCCAGGTATTCCTTAAAGAGGTGGGGTTTCAAGTGTCTCCGGAAGGTGGTGAGTGACTCCGCTGTCCTGGCGTCGTGAGGGAGCTTGTTCCACCATTGGGGTGCCAGAGCAGCGAACAGTTTTGACTGGCTGAGCGGGAACTGTGCTTCCGCAGAGGAAGGGGAGCCAGCAGGCCAGAGGTGGATGAACGCAATGCCCTCGTTTGGGTGTAGGGACTGATCAGAGCCTGAAGGTACGGAGGTGCCGTTCCCCTCACAGCTCCGTAGGCAAGCACCATGGTCTTGTAGCAGATGCGAGCTTCAATGGAAGCCAGTGGAGTGTGCGGAGGAGCGGGGTGACGTGAGAGAACTTGGAAGGTTGAACACCAGACGGGCTGCGGCATTCTGGATGAGTTGTAGGGGTTTAATGGCACAGGCAGGGAGCCCAGCCAACAGCGAGTTGCAGTAATCCAGACGGGAGATGACAAGTGCCTGGATTAGGACCTGTGCCGCTTCCTGTGTAAGGCAGGGTCGTACTCTGCGAATGTTGTAGAGCATGAACCTACAGGATCGGGTCACCGCCTTGATGTTAGCGGAGAACGACAGGGTGTTGTCCAGGGTCACGCCAAGGCTCTTTGCACTCTGGGAGGAGGACACAACGGAGAGCTAGCTGGCATAATTACAGGCACTCTCAAGCGTGAAACAACTATCCACAGTTGCTAATAGTTACCAGTAGCTACCCGCTAGCTAGTCCAGGTAGTGGGTTAGCTAGCCTCGTGCTTCACCGGGCTCAGCCGAATACAATACTTACCTACAATAACTACAATAACCCACGATAACTACCTATAATACCTAACTACAATACCTAACTACAATCTAAATACATGGTTTAAGCTTTACTCAACACCATATAAGCCAAGCTTACCTCCCGCCAGAGAGAGAGACACAACCTCACCCGACGACTCTCACCCGGCTAAAGTTAGCTGTATTACCTCTCAGGATGTCTCTGGTGGACTTGAACTGCTCAAAGCAGGAGTCTGTTGTCTGCACCCACCAGCGCTTTCAGCTCCTCTGCTCTGGACACATTCCTGTTCGGTAACTGGCATTTATTTATTATTTATTTATTATTTCCTAGGTGCCAAGGTGACGTCCACGGACCTGCCGGAGGTGCTGAGTAACCTGCAGTATAACGTACTCCGTAACACCAGGGGGCGCTGTAGACACACTCCTCGTGTCACTGAGCTGTCCTGGGGGCAGGAGCTGGAACAACGCTTCCCTCGGGCTACCTGTCTCTACGACTACGTGTTCGCTGCTGACGTGGTGTACTGCCACCCGCACCTGGTGGAGCTCTTGGACACCTTCGATCACCTGTGTCAGGACGGGACGGAGATCCTCTGGGCCATGAGGTTCCGTCTGGACAGAGAGAACCGGTTTGTAGAACGGTTCCAGGGCAGGTTCCATCTGGAAGAGCTGTACGATCTGCCCAGTCTCAGTATCAAACTGTACCGAGCATCGAGGAAGGAGAAGAGGAGGAAGACCGACTCAGAGAATCAACAAAGCCATTGTCGAGAAGGACGTTACACTTGACTCTTGAAGGTCATTTACCCTTGAGCCGTCATCCACAGCATTTGGGGTAATTGTAGTGTTTCTTCAGCCCGTTTATCTTTTGTTGTAGCTGTCCTCTTTACAGAGGTTACTGTCATCTTTACAGAGGTTACTGTCATCTTTACAGAGGTTACTGTCCTCTTTACAGAGGTTACTGTCCTCTTTACAGAGGTTACTGTCCTCTTTACAGAGGTTACTGTCAATTTTACAGAGGTTACTGTTAACTGTACAGAGGTTACTGTAAACTTTACAGATGTTACTGTAAACTTTGCAGAGGTTACTCTCCTCTTTGTAGAGGTTTATGTCATATTTACAGAGGTTACTGTCCTCTTTGCAGAGGTTACTGTCAACTTTACATAGGTTACTGTCAACTTTACAGAGGTTAATGCCAACTTTACAGATGTTACTGTCCTCTTTGTGGAGGTTACTGTCATCTTTACAGAGGTTACTGTCATCTTTACAGAGGTTACTGTCATCTTTACAGAGGTTACTGTCCTCTTTACAGAGGTTACTGTCATCTTTACAGAGGTTACTGTCCTCTTTACAGATGTTACTGTAAACTTTGCAGAGGTTACTCTCCTCTTTGTAGAGGTTTCTGTCATCTTTACAGAGGTTACTGTCCTCTTTACAGAGGTTATTGTCCTCTTTACAGCGGTTACTGTCATCTTTACAGAGGTTACTGTCATCTTTACAGAGGTTACTGTCCTCTTTACAGAGGTTACTGTCAACTTTACAGAGGTTAATGTCAACTGTACAGAGGTTAATGTCAACTGTACAGAGGTTACTGTCAACTGTACAGAGGTTACTGTAATCTGTACAGAGGTTACTGTCAACTGTACAGAGGTTACTGTAAACTTAGCAGATGTTACTGTAAACTTTGCAGAGGTTACTCTCCTCTTTGTAGAGGTTTCTGTCATCTTTACATAGGTTACTGTCCTCTTTGCAGAGGTTACTGTCATCTTTACAGATGTTACTGTCAACTTTACATAGGTTACTGTCAACTTTACAGAGGTTAATGTCAACTTTACAGATGTTACTGTCCTCTTTTTAGAGGTTACTGTCATCTTTACAGAGGTTACTGTCATCTTTACAGAGATTACTGTCCTCTTTACAGATGTTAAATGAACTCTCCTTCCCTTCATGCTGGGCAGATCTGTATGATTGTTTTCTCTACTATTATTCAGTTGTATTTCTGATTGAAGATGTTCACTACTTGACCAGAAGGATATATAGTGTGTGCTGCACATGATGTACTGCTGTACATATCAAGACCTGCTGCACATGATGTATTGCTGTTTCCTGAAGTTTATGTCCATACAATGAACACTATTTACTTTGTATTATGTTGTTCATTTGCTTTATGCAGTAATTTATCAAATGCGAAATAAACTACATTATAAACACCTCTCGCCTGTAAATTGTTATGGAAAGGAAGATTAGTCCTTTTAGTCAACTGAAGAGGAAAGGACAGGGGTCAGAGAGGGGTCGAGGTGAGGCGGTCCACCCATCAGTACAGTAGGGGTCAGAGAGGGGTCGAGGTGAGGCGGTCCACCCATCAGTACAGTAGGGGTCAGAGAGGGGTCGAGGTGAGGCGGTTCCACCCATCAGTACAGTAGGGGTCAGAGAGGGGTCGAGGTGAGGCGGTTCCACCCATCAGTACAGTAGGGGTCAGAGAGGGGTCGTGGTGAGGCGGGTCCACCCATCAGTACAGTAGGGGGTCAGAGAGGGGTCGAGGTGAGGCGGTCCACCCATCAGTACAGTAGGGGTCAGAGAGGGGTCAGAGAGGGGTCGAGGTGAGGCGGTCCACCCATCAGTACAGTAGGGGTCAGAGAGGGGTCGAGGTGAGGCGGTCCACCCATCAGTACAGTAGGGGTCAGAGAGGGGTCGAGGTGAGGCGGTCCACCCATCAGTACAGTAGGGGTCAGAGAGGGGTCGAGGTGAGGCGGTCCACCCATCAGTACAGTAGGGGTCAGAGAGGGGTCGAGGTGAGGCGGTCCACCCATCAGTACAGTAGGGGTCAGAGAGGGGTCGAGGTGAGGCGGTCCACCCATCAGTTACAGTAGGGGTCAGAGAGGGGTCGAGGTGAGGCGGTCCACCCATCAGTACAGTAGGGGTCAGAGAGGGGTCGAGGTGAGGCGGTCCACCCATCAGTACAGTAGGGGTCAGAGGGGTCAGAGAGGGGTCGAGGTGAGGCGGGTCCACCCATCAGTACAGTAGGGGTCAGAGAGGGGTCGAGGTGAGGCGGTCCACCCATCAGTACAGTAGGGGTCAGAGAGGGGTCGAGGTGAGGCGGTCCACCCATCAGTACAGTAGGGGTCAGAGAGGGGTCGAGGTGAGGCGGTCCACCCATCAGTACAGTAGGGGTCAGAGTCCATCATTAACACTACAACGCCAGGCCCCCTACCACAACGAAACATACCCCTCAACCCCTGAAAATCCCTCTAAACCAGTTATAATATAGATCAATATCACTCTTAAAACCTGACCTCAACCGAATTGAGATGGTTTGGGATGAGTCGGACCGCAGAGTGAAGGAAAAGCAGCCAACAAGTGCTCAGCATATGTGGGAACTCCTTCAAGACTGTTGGAAAAGCATTCCAGGTGACTACCAGATGAAGCAGGTTGAGAGAATGTCAAGATTGTGCAAAGCTGTCATCAAGGCAAATGGGTGGCTACTTTGAAGAATCTCAAATATAAAATATATTTTGATTTGTTTAACACTTCTTTGGTTACCACATGATTCCATATGTTTTATTTCATAGTTTTGATGTCTTCACTATTATTCTACAATGTAGAAAATAGTAAAAATAAAGAAAAACCCTGGAATGAGTAGGTGTGTCCAAAACCTAGATCTCAGGTAATTAGCCGACATATATACCGATCTGTTAACACTTGATCTGATTGAATCTAGTCCTTAGAGAGACCAATCAGATATATGACAGAGAGAGAGATACTGTATAAACTGACCTGGTCAGAAAAACAACCTGTCAAACAACATACTGGCATGGGCCCCGTGTAGCTCAGTTGGTAGAGCATGACGCTTGCAACGCCAGGGTTGTGGGTTCGATTCCCATGGGGGGCCAGTATGAAACTAAATAAATATAATAATGTATGCACTCACTAACTGTAAGTCGCTCTGGATAAGAGCGTCTGCTAAAATGACTAAAAATGTCAAATGTATGGGGGTTGCCTCCATGCTGCCATTTGAATCAGTTTACCCTGCAACCTCTGCCCCTCAATGTTAGGTTAAGTCTAGAAATGGCTTGCTATTGGTTACCAAGTCAAAACAAGGATAAAAGGTCACAGTACAACAACAGAATCAGACACTGACATCACTTCCTCTCCCTGTGAACCAGCCATCTCCTTTAGTCCTGCCAGTCTCAGTCACACCCCCTCATTATACATACCCTCATCAGACCCCCTCATACTGAGCTATTTAGGGTAGAGGCAGGGGCATACCAAGGACCTCCGACAAAAGGGGTTTCAGACGGGATAAGATTTGGTTTTAACGGTCATGTCAGAAACCCGAGAGCTGGCGTATCCAGGCCAAATTCTCATATCCAGGTCAAACGGTCACTAAATCAAAACAGTTGCACAAAACAGTTGCACTGCAGACAGCCCTGTTCTATTACCCCTGTCCTCTGGTGGAGCTATGAGAGTAGAGCAGACAGCCCTGTTCTATTACCCCTGTCCTCTGGTGGAGCAGACAGCCCTGTTCTATTACCCCTGTCCTCTGGTGGAGCTATGAGAGTAGAGCAGACAGCCCTGTTCTATTACCCCTGTCCTCTGGTGGAGCTATGAGAGCAGAGCAGACAGCCCTGTTCTATTACCCCTGTCCTCTGGTGGAGCTATGAGAGTAGAGCAGACAGCCCTGTTCTATTACCCCTGTCCTCTGGTGGAGCTATGAGAGTAGAGCAGACAGCCCTGTTCTATTACCCCTGTCCTCTGGTGGAGCTATGAGAGTAGAGCAGCAGACAGCCCTGTTCTATTACCCCTGTCCTCTGGTGGAGCTATGAGAGTAGAGCAGACAGCCCTGTTCTATTACCCCTGTCCTCTGGTGGAGCTATGAGAGTAGAGCAGACAAGCCCTGTTCTATTACCCCTGTCCTCTGGTGGAGCTATGAGAGTAGAGCAGACAGCCCTGTTCTATTACCCCTGTCCTCTGGTGGAGCTATGAGAGTAGAGCGGACAGCCCTGTTCTATTACCCCTGTCCTCTGGTGGAGCTATGAGAGTAGAGCGGACAGCCCTGTTCTATTACCCCTGTCCTCTGGTGGAGCTATGAGAGTAGAGCAGACAGCCCTGTTCTATTACCCCTGTCCTCTGGTGGAGCTATGAGAGTAGAGCAGACAGCCCTGTTCTATTACCCCTGTCCTCTGGTGGAGCTATGAGAGTAGAGCAGACAGCCCTGTTCTATTACCCCTGTCCTCTGGTGGAGCTATGAGAGTAGAGCAGACAGCCCTGTTCTATACCCCTGTCCTCTGGTGGAGCTATGAGAGTAGAGCAGACAGCCCTGTTCTATTACCCCTGTCCTCTGGTGGAGCAGACAGCCCTGTTCTATTACCCCTGTCCTGGTGGAGCTATGAGAGTAGAGCAGACAGCCCTGTTCTATTACCCCTGTCCTCTGGTGGAGCTATGAGAGTAGAGCAGACAGCCCTGTTCTATTACCCCTGTCCTCTGGTGGAGCAGACAGCCCTGTTCTATTACCCCTGTCCTCTGGTGGAGCTATGAGAGTAGAGCAGACAGCCCTGTTTCTATTACCCCTGTCCTCTGGTGGAGCTATGAGAGTAGAGCAGACAGCCCTGTTCTATTACCCCTGTCCTCTGGTGGAGCTATGAGAGTAGAGCAGACAGCCCTGTTCTATTACCCCTGTCCTCTGGTGGAGCTATGAGAGTAGAGCAGACAGCCCTGTTCTATTACCCCTGTCCTCTGGTGGAGCTATGAGAGTAGAGCAGACAGCCCTGTTCTATTACCCCTGTCCTCTGGTGGAGCTATGAGAGTAGAGCAGACAGCCCTGTTCTATTACCCCTGTCCTCTGGTGGAGCTATGAGAGTAGAGCAGACAGCCCTGTTCTATTACCCCTGTCCTCTGGTGGAGCTATGAGAGTAGAGCAGACAGCCCTGTTCTATTACCCCTGTCCTCTGGTGGAGCTATGAGAGTAGAGCAGACAGCCCTGTTCTATTACCCCTGTCCTCTGGTGGAGCTATGAGAGTAGAGCAGACAGCCCTGTTCTATTACCCCTGTCCTCTGGTGGAGCTATGAGAGTAGAGCAGACAGCCCTGTTCTATTACCCCTGTCCTCTGGTGGAGCTATGAGAGTAGAGCAGACAGCCCTGTTCTATTACCCCTGTCCTCTGGTGGAGCTATGAGAGTAGAGCAGACAGCCCTGTTCTATTACCCCTGTCCTCTGGTGGAGCTATGAGAGTAGAGCAGACAGCCCTGTTCTATTACCCCTGTCCTCTGGTGGAGCTATGAGAGTAGAGCAGACAGCCCTGTTCTATTACCCCTGTCCTCTGGTGGAGCTATGAGAGTAGAGCAGACAGCCCTGTTCTATTACCCCTGTCCTCTGGTGGAGCTATGAGAGTAGAGCAGACAGCCCTGTTCTATTACCCCTGTCCTCTGGTGGAGCTATGAGAGTAGAGCAGACAGCCCTGTTCTATTACCCCTGTCCTCTGGTGGAGCTATGAGAGCAGAGCAGACAGCCCTGTTCTATTACCCCTGTCCTCTGGTGGAGCTATGAGAGTAGAGCAGACAGCCCTGTTCTATTACCCCTGTCCTCTGGTGGAGCTATGAGAGTAGAGCAGGACAGCCCTGTTCTATTACCCCTGTCCTCTGGTGGAGCTATGAGAGTAGAGCAGACAGCCCTGTTCTATTACCCCTGTCCTCTGGTGGAGCTATGAGAGTAGAGCAGACAGCCCTGTTCTATTACCCCTGTCCTCTGGTGGAGCTATGAGAGTAGAGCAGACAGCCCTGTTCTATTACCCCTGTCCTCTGGTGGAGCAGACAGCCCTGTTCTATTACCCCTGTCCTCTGGTGGAGCTATGAGAGTAGAGCAGACAGCCCTGTTCTATTACCCCTGTCCTCTGGTGGAGCTATGAGAGTAGAGCAGACAGCCCTGTTTCTATTACCCCTGTCCTCTGGTGGAGCTATGAGAGTAGAGCAGACAGCCCTGTTCTATTACCCCTGTCCTCTGGTGGAGCTATGAGAGTAGAGCAGACAGCCCTGTTCTATTACCCCTGTCCTCTGGTGGAGCTATGAGAGTAGAGCAGACAGCCCTGTTCTATTACCCCTGTCCTCTGGTGGAGCTATGAGAGTAGAGCAGACAGCCCTGTTCTATTACCCCTGTCCTCTGGTGGAGCTATGAGAGTAGAGCGGACAGCCCTGTTCTATTACCCCTGTCCTCTGGTGGAGCTATGAGAGTAGAGCAGACAGCCCTGTTCTATTACCCCTGTCCTCTGGTGGAGCTATGAGAGTAGAGCGGACAGCCCTGTTCTATTACCCCTGTCCTCTGGTGGAGCTATGAGAGTAGAGCAGACAGCCCTGTTCTATTACCCCTGTCCTCTGGTGGAGCTATGAGAGTAGAGCAGACAGCCCCGTTCTATTACCCCTGTCCTCTGGTGGAGCTATGAGAGTAGAGCAGACAGCCCTGTTCTATTACCCCTGTCCTCTGGTGGAGCTATGAGAGTAGAGCAGACAGCCCTGTTCTATTACCCCTGTCCTCTGGTGGAGCTATGAGAGTAGAGCAGACAGCCCCGTTCTATTACCCCTGTCCTCTGGTGGAGCTATGAGAGTAGAGCAGACAGCCCTGTTCTATTACCCCTTATCGATGTCACTTGTTGAATCCCACTTTAAATCAGTGTAGATGAAGCGGAGGAGACAGCTTAAAGTCTTGAGACAGCTGAGACATGGACTGTGTATGTGAGCCATTCAGAGGGTGAATGGGCAAGACAAAAGATTTAAGTGCCTACCCGACTACGATTGCCACCATTTTTTTTAATAAACCTTTTTAATCAAGAAGCTTTTTAAGAGTCCTTTTCCCCTTCCCTTCAAATATTTAATAAACATTGTTATATTTTGAATGGAGTGTGGGTGCGGTTTCACATTTTGAAGTCAACGCTCACACCTGTTTTCCTCTGTTAGTTATACTTCCAGTGATGGAGGATTTGACCTGTTTTCCTCTGCTAGTTATACTTCCAGTGATGTAGGATTTGACCTGTTTTCCTCTGCTAGTTATACTTCCAGTGATGTAGGATTTGACCTGTTTTTCCTCTGCTAGTTATACTTCCAGTGATGTAGGATTTGACCTGTTTTCCTCTGCTAGTTATACTTCCAGTGATGTAGGATTTGACCTGTTTTCCTCTGCTAGTTATACTTCCAGTGATGTAGGATTTGACCTGTTTTCCTCTGCTAGTTATACTTTCAGTGATGTAGGATTTGACCTGTTTTCCTCTGCTAGTTATACTTCCAGTGATGTAGGATTTGACCTGTTTTCCTCTACTAGTTATACTTCCAGTGATGTAGGATTTGACCTGTTTTCCTCTGCTAGTTATACTTCCAGTGATGTAGGATTTGACCTGTTTTCCTCTGCTAGTTATACTTCCAGTGATGTAGGATTTGACCTGTTTTCCTCTGCTAGTTATACTTCCAGTGATGTAGGATTTGACCTGTTTTCCTCTGCTAGTTATACTTCCAGTGATGTAGGATTTGTGTCTAGTCTCGCCCCCCTTTGGGTGCGTTACCAAACCTCTATTTAAAAGCTGAGATTGCTTGTAAACAGAGATGGATATGCCGTGTGTGTGTGTGTGTGTGTGTGTGTGCGTGTGTGTGTGCGTGTGTGTGTGTGTCTGTGTGTTTGTTTCAGATGGTCCCATCTCTAAATATAGCGTTGGGTTGGTGTGATGGGAGTGTCCAGCAGGATTCTGACTCTGATAAAGTCTTAAAACCTCGACTCTGAGACGTCCCAAGATGCAGTTAGAACGATCTTCAACAAGAAGAAGAGAAAAATACTTTTATTAATTCATACGAGATGGAAAACCAAGACAGAAAAGTGGAGGGTTGACGCCCAAAACCCACTGACCAAGGAAATACAAAGACTGCAGTAGGTAGGTGATGGTTTGGTACAATGAAGAGAGTTAAATGTGATTGGTTGGGTGGTTTTAGAGTCTGTAGAATGGATTTGAGGTGAGGAACGTTGAACTAAAGCCCCCATCTTTGGTAGAGCAGTTTCTTTGAGCTGAAAGAAAAGACTGGAAAAGACCCTCATACTGTATCTCTGTATCAGAGGAGGCTGGTGGAAGGACCTATAGGAGGACAGGATCTATATGGCTGTATGTATTAGAGAAATGTTGACAAACATTCTGTTATTCTGGGTGAGATGGTGACCGTTTGTGACTGAGGCAGTCCATATGGTGATGGTAGAAGGGTGTGGAAGGGGGGATAGAGGGGGTTTAGAGGGGGTTTAGAGGGGGTTTAGAGTGGGGATAGAGGGGGGAAGAGATATGGGATTCATTACAGTCTGGGAGCTGAACAAATATGTTGTTACCAAAAAGGGTTCGGGGAGGGGTGACGTTAGGGAGGGGTGACGTTAGGGAGGGGTGACGTTAGGGAGGGGGGAGAGAGATAAAACTCAAGTGTTGGACTTGGGTTTACAACGTGTGGGAGAGACTGAGCCTGAAGAGAGTGCTGACTGTAAAATGAGTAGCTAACTTGCCAATGCAACATCAGCTACTACAGTATGGATCAGTGCAATTGAAGTAAAATTGTAATTTCTCCGGTTTCTAGGGATCCTTTATGCACACCTAACCAAGAGGAGAAGGAAACTGTGATCGTGATGGAAGAGAAGGAGAAGGAAACTGTGATCGTGAAGGAAGACGATGAGGAGGAAGATGTCAAAGCCAAGGAGACTGAACCCCAGCACCAGAAGACGCAGGCCTGGGTCCCCACTGCCTACTCCAAGTTCGGTAAAGAGGTGTTCTGCTACGTAGGACAGGAGATCAGCATCTTTGAGGCCTTGGACTCTTACGGCGCTGTCATCTGGCCAGCGGTGAGTTATTCTACTATTTAACATGACGTTCATGGAGGGATGTAGGATAACGACGAATGATGATGATGATGATGATGATGATGATGGTGGTGATGGTGGTGGGGGGTGGTGATGGATGGGTGGATGGATGGATGGATGGATGGGTGGGCAGATGGATCGGTGGATAGGTGGGATGGATGCAAGATGATCATGATAATAATTTGATAATTAATAATAATAATAACTATAATGATGGTTGCTATAGTAACTCTGGTTGCCTGTAGGCGTTGGCTCTGTGTCACTACCTAGAGACCAACGTTGAGCAGTTGAATCTGGTGGACAAGGCAGTGCTGGAGCTAGGAGCAGGACCTGGCCTAGTGTCTATTGTTGCCACACTCCTAGGTGAGTCTGACCAGACTCTACACTACTGTCCTAGACATAGGCATTTATCTGAGAGCATTGGAGAGGTGCAAAGTGATGTGATGAAAACTCTACCTAGCCTCTCAAGGTGGCTAGCAAGGTGGAGGAGGTCCTATCAAGGTGGAGGAGGTCCTATCAAGGTGGAGGAGGTCATATCAAGGTGGCCAGGGAGGAGGTCCTATCAAGGTGGAGGAGGTCCTATCAAGGTGGAGGAGGTCCTATCAAGGTGGAGGAGGTCCTATCAAGGTGGAGGAGGTCCTATCAAGGTGGAGGAGGTCCTATCAAGGTGGCTAACAAGGTGGAGGAGGTCCTATCAAGGTGAAGGAGGTCTTATCAAGGTGGAGGAGGTCCTATCAAGGTGAAGGAGGTCCTATCAAGGTGGAGGAGGTCCTATCAAGGTGGTTAGCAAGGTGGAGGAGGTCCTATCAAGGTGGTTAGCAAGGTGGAGGAGGTCCTATCAAGGTGGAGGAGGTCCTATCAAGGTGGTTAGCAAGGTGGAGGAGGTCCTATCAAGGTGGTTAGCAAGGTGGAGGAGGTCCCGGCATTATATACCTCTTACACCTATCCAATCTTTTCAGATCTGCATGAAGTGTCCTAGTCACTAGAGGCTAGGGGTTGATTTGGTACTGGCCACCTGTGTGTCTGTTAGTTGACTAACACAGTGTTACCTGTCCCCAGGTGCCTGGGTCACAGCTACAGACCTGCCAGAGATCCTGGGTAACCTGAGAGCCAACCTGCTCCGTAACACAAGAGGGCGCTGTAGGTACACTCCCCAAGCTGCAGCTCTGTCCTGGGGTCCTGACGTGGAACGTATCTACCCCAGATCCGTCTATCGCTATGACTACGTGCTGGCGGCTGACGTGGTGTATCACCATGACTACCTGGAAGAGCTGCTGTTCACAATGAGATACTTCTGCCGTCCAGGTGATTGGTTGATTGATTGATTGATTGGTTGATTGGTTGATTTATTGTTTGATTGATTGGTTCATTTATTGATTGGTTGGTTGAATGGCTGATTCATTGATAGTCTCATTGAACAGTTTAAAAGTACAACAAATCCCAGAGTGCAATGCATGAAAGCATTAAACAACGCATATTATTTCCCTTAGGAACCACTCTGATCTGGGCCAACAAGGTCCGTTTTCCGACAGACCTGGGATTCACTGAGGACTTCAAGAAAACCTTCAACACCACACTGCTGGCTGAGATGGGAGAGGTTAAGATCTTCATGGCCACGTGCAGAGAGACAGAGGAACACCTTCAACACCACCCTGCTGGCTGAGATGGGAGAGGTTAAGATCTTCATGGCCACGTGCAGAGAGACAGAGGAACACCTTCAACACCACCCTGCTGGCTGAGATGGGAGAGGTTAAGATCTTTAAGGCCACGTGCAGAGAGACAGAGGAACACCTTCAACACCACCCTGCTGGCTGAGATGGGAGAGGTTAAGATCTTTATGGCCACGTGTAAAAGGTAGGGATTAGGGAAGATAAAGGAATAGTCGACATCCTGCCGACTACGCCAAATGTAACCAAGACTTCCTGTCCCTTCTTCCTCTGAGAAATGCTTGAAGGCAGAAGGCGGCCATCTTGGGTAATAATACTGGACGTTGATGGACTGCTGACGTTGTCAGTTGTTGATGATTGATTTGTACTTACTACTTACCTACTATATGTAGTGGTTTATTGTTTACTTAGTTGATACATGTAGTTTATTTTGATAATATTATTAAAAAATGTATGTACTTTGCTGTCTTGTTTCAGTTTGTATCCAAATATAATCTGTTATGGATATACAGTCTGTAGTAAAGGTCTACGCACAGTCTTCACTTTTTGCTGCACATTCTTTATTTATTTTTTTCCACCGATCTTCCTACCGAAATATTTTTGGTGTGAAAATGTTCCAAATTAATACAAATTGAAAAACTAAAATGTCTTGGTTGCGTATGTCTTCACACCCCAGAGTTAATACTTGGTGGACGCACCTTTGGCAGACATTACAGCTGTGAATCATTTTGAATAAGATTCTACCAATGTTTACCAAATCTTACGGCAACATACACTCACTGGCCAGTTTATTAGGTACACCCATCTAGTACCGGATCGGACCCCCCTTTGCCTCCAGAACAGCCTGAATTCTTTGGACATGAAAACGTTGCTAAATTGGTATCAAGTGACCTAACGTGTGCCAGGAAAACATTCCCCACACCATTACACCACTACCGCCAGCATGTACCGTCGACACCAGGAAGGATGGGGCCATGGACTCATGCCGTTTACGCCAAATCCTGACGCTGTGTTTCTTGGTAGTCTTAAACAAATCTACTTTGAAACAAAAGTATCCACCTCATACACATGGTTATGGGCTTAACAAAAAGAAGACACCTGTACCATGTCAGATATAGAGTAGAAATGGATTCAATGTTGAGTTTGCATCCCAAAGCCCTGAAACTCCGTAAGAAGCATCTCAAGGTCCTGGAGTGGCCTAGCCAGTCTCCAGACCTGAACCCAATAGAAAATCTTTGGAGGGAGCTGAAAGTCCGTATTGCCCAGCGACAGCCCTGAAACCTGAAGGATCTGGAGAAGGTCTGTATGGAGGAGTGGGCCAAAATCCCTGCTGCAGTGTGTGTAAACCTGGTCAAGACCTACAGGAAACATATGATCTCTGTAATTGCAAACAAAGGTTTCTATACCAAATATTAAGTTCTGCTTTTCTGATGTATCAAATACTTATGTCATGCAATAAAATGCAAATTAATTACTTAAAAATCATACAATGTGATTTTCTGGATTTTTGTTTAAGATTACGTCTCTCACCGTTGAAGTGTACCTATGATAAAAATTACAGACCTCTACATGCTTTGTAAGTAGGAAAACCTGCAAATTCGGCAGTGTATCAAATACTTGTTCTCCCCACTGTATGTGTAACAGGGTTGACGCATTATACTCGACCCCTCAGTTTCTCACCACAAAGAGTAGAACCAGCTCACATGCGTTTATACTATGATTTGACTATTAGATGTTCAATGTTTCTTTTCAAAAAATATTTTAAAAAGGAGTTGGTACCGCACCAGTAACCCATCTCAAATCTCAAATCACAGACCACACCCAGCTCTATGGTTCTGTGATATAAATTATATTGAAACATGTCGAGCAGAGTTATAGCCAATATCACTCTTAAACCTGGATCTGAAAATCCCTCTAAACCAGTTACAATATATATCAATATCACTCTTAAACCTGGATCTGAAAATCCCTCTAAACCAGTTATAATATAGATCAATATCACTTTTAAACCTGGATCAGAAAATCCCTCTAAACCAGTTACACCCCCATATCACTAATACATCTGGAACAAAAAACCCCTCTCCAGTTTCATGTGACTGCGTGAATGAAATTAGACTGTAACAGGGTACATGCCAACTACTTCAAATTTTTAAATGTTTACATTTCAGTCATTTAGCAGACGCTCTTATCCAGAGCGACTTACAGTTAAGTGAGTGCATACATTTTCATACTGGCCCCCCGTGGGAATCGAACCCACAACCCTGGCGTTGCAAACTAGCTAGCTGTGCCACTAGAGATCCTGATTCGAATCCAGGCTCTGTTGTAGCCGGCCGCGACCGGGAGACCCATGGGGCGGCGCACAATACGTCCAGGGTAGGGGAGGGAATGGCCGGCAGGGATGGAGCTCAGTTGGTAGAGCATGGCGTTTGCAATGCCAGGGTTGTGGGTTCAATTCCCAGGGGGGGCCAGTATGAAAATGTATGCACTCACTTAACTGTAAGTCGCTCTGGATAAGAGCGTCTGCTAAATGACTGAAATGTAAAAATGTAAAAATTTGAAGTAGTTGGCAGGATAAATCACTACATTTTAAGTAGTCGGCAGGATAAATCACTACATTTGAAGTAGTCAGCAGGATAAATCGCTACATTTGAAGTAGTCAGCAGGATAAATCACTACATTTGAAGTAGTCAGCAGGATAAATCACTACATTTGAAGTAGTCGGCAGGATAAATCACTACATTTGAAGTAGTCAGCAGGATAAATCACTACATTTGAAGTAGTCAGCAGGATAAATCAACGCACCAAACACTCACATGGAACAAAGGAAAACAGGTAAGGTGTCTTCTTGCCTTCCTGTTCAGAATGCTCTTCTACAGGGTAACAGACAAATGGACTACTGACACCTAGTGGTGGACCTCTAAAAAGGTCCTATATACAACACATTAATATAATATAATATGTCATTTAGCAGATGCAACGGCCCTTTGGCCACAAACACAGGGCAAGTGGGGAGAAGAGGAAGTAGAATCATTTGGTGTTTTAGTTTGAGCACATCTAAGCTTAAATAGCTACTCTGTTATGACGATATAGACGGACGGATGTGTTCTAGACGAGTATGCCCACGCCATCTATTGGCTGGTGATCTGGAGGTCGTTGTTTTAATAGTTCGTTTTTTCCCCCCCTAGCTCCAGGTGACGAGAACCTTATCGTGAGGATTCGGCACAAAAAAACGATTTCCTGATTTTCACAGACGGACCACTTAGAGGTTAAATCACGGTGAGTTTTTTATTTATTTGACCCGCTCATAGAACATAGACTATCACCAAATTGACAGGAGTTTCATTCTGGAGTGGGCTATCCCTTTAAGGTCAAGATGTCATTTATCTCTGCCCACTTCTGCAGCTTCCAGAAGGTGTCCGTCAGGGATTTGGCCCCGCCCTGTTGTACGACCTCGTCTGCCCTTTCGATGGTCCCCCGAGGGAGATCCATTAAAACATCATTCATCCATCAGTCATCCTCAGACATCTTAAGACATACCTCATCCTCTCTGTCATCCCTCATCCTATTTCAGTCTCCAACGTGGTGAGATGGGATTCCCGTAGATTTTCCTCTTGGCTGGGGATACCCCTCAATCTCCAATTCCATAAAGCTACGCTTCCCACTGAGCTACATTGGTCATTGACCTCACCGTAATGTAGACGGTGGTATTTCGGTGATCCAAAACGAACCCCGGGGAACCAGAGAACTCCCTGTTTTGAATTGCCCTCATTTCTGTGCCCCTTACAAGGAGGCTAAATCAGCCCCAGAGGATATGAGTGTTACTCCACCTGCTCCAGATACTCCAGAGTCAAGCCAACACAGGTCACCAGTCAGGTCAGAGGTTACGACCCCGTATACTGAGTGGACAAAACATTAAGAACACCTGCTCTTTCCATGACATAGACTGACCGGGTTAATCCATGGTGAGAGCTATGATCCCTTATCGATGTCACTTGTTGAATCCCACTTCAAATCAGTGTAGATGAAGGGGAGACGACAGGTTAAAGAAGGAATTTTAAGCCTCGAGACAATTGAGACATGGATTGTGTATGTGATATTGTGTACGTGTTATTGTGTAGGGGGGGGGGTGAAACTCATTATTAGGAAGGTGTCCCTAAGGTTATATTAGGAAGGTGTCCCTAAGGTTATATTAGGAAGGTGTCCCTAAGGTTTTGTACACTCAGAGTCAGGTCCAAAATGATTTGCACCCTTGATAAAGATGAGCAATAAAGATGGTGTAAAATAAATGACAAATACTGAGCTACAAAAACATGTATTTTATACTAATATTGCTCAGAGAAAGAGATTTGTTTAAAAGTATTGGCACCCCTAAAGATTTTAATTTATAACAATCAACCCAAAGAAAATCTGCCTTCACATTCTACTTTGTTAAGCTCATCTCAGGTTACGGGACAGTACTGTGGCCTTCCATGGCTTCCTGTGTCACTGGGATATAAAAATGAGGTAACACGCATGTCAAATCCCTTCGTCACCATCACCATGGGAAAAACACAAATACCTCGCAAACAAAAAGAGACAAATGGTTGTTGACCGTAAAAAAAAATAATTATCAGGCAACGGGTACAGAAAAAATTGCTACAAATGAACTATATCACTTAGGGCAACAATTAATACGTTTAAAACCACTGGAACAGTGATAAACCAGCCAGGTATTGGAAGCATGTGTATCTAGTCCCCACAGGGAGGAAGATGGTTCTGGAGGCAAAGAAAAGTCCAAGGGCCAAAGTTGAAGAATTCCAAAACTTGGTCCCATCTTCACCATGCCTCCAAATCTACAATTAAACAACTCCTCTATGTCAATAGGCTCTTTATTGAGAACAACCAACTCATGTAAACGCCTGGAGTTTGCTAAAGGGCATTGGCACTTTGGATTGGAAGGGGTGCTATGGTGATATGAGATGCAAATAGAGGTCTTTGGCCAGGCACAGCAGTGGTGGGTTTGGAGTCTAAATAAGGA